CATTCTTAAAAAGTACTTTAAACTGTATAAATACAATTGAAAGCGATTGACCAATCAGAAGAAAGTTATCCTATATAGGTGAACCTATGGGTGACTGGTCATTCTCTTGGCGGAGCCTTGGCAACTCTATTTTATACACGCTTATTAAAAACCATGGACACAGTAAATGCGGAAGATGTAAACACAGAAAACGACTGGAATAAATATTGTGAACTTCGAGACGCAGTAACCTTCGCAAGTCCTGCTGTTGGTGATAATAATTTTGCTTCCGAATTTTTATCTCTGATAAATAAACATCAGAATATAAGATTGTTATGACGTATTGTGGGAGGAGAAGATCTTGTGACAAAATTACCACCTAGGTTTTTTCATAATTCAAAGAAGAAATATGCATATCATTCTAATTTAATAATGAATTATACTCAAGTTGGAGACAAAGTTCAGTTTTTCCTAGATGGTAGTGAACCACCATTTTCTTATCGAAATGTGCTTCGGAAAAATTCTAATGGAATTGATTTATTAGTAAAAGAAGCAAAAACATATCTTGATGAAGGAAGCAAGAGCAACAACGATTGGTTTAATTGGAATGGTTTTTTATATTTTTTGTGGAAATGGATTTTTTTATTGCAATGGATAACAAACCATTCAACAACAAGTTATATTAAAGCTTTGCAGTTATCAGAAGATTATTTTAAGAATGATATTGGAGTTGAGAAGAAAGACGTTAATAGTGAAGTTGAGAAGACCAAGGTTGATAACAACAAAGTTGAAAATGTGATTGAAATTTTTATTTAATAATTGCAACCTTTATTTTGTATTTCTGTATCAATTATTCATTATTTATACTTGATTAGTTAGTATAAACATATAATTTTTCATTTGTCTCTAAATAATAAACATAGCTGTAATAGAAAAAATATCAATTACAATTATAATAATTAGTTAAATGGATTAAATAAACACTACTATGAGGCTCAAGCATGATGAAGAATTATATGATGGCTTTGACTCTGTATAAGATTCATTTCTATATTAAAAGATAAAGTTTCAGTAGGAATAAGATAAAAGCTGTAAAACCAACTTTAAATAACTTAATATTACCTACATTTTAAAGTTGTATAAATAATTAAATAGATTATGTATTGATAATACAATTTACCCTGCATCTCTTTATTAATTCAGTACCATCACAAATATATGTGTACTGTACGAAAACAAATATATAATTTTACAGTTATATTGGCACTATTCCGTTATAAGAATGACTCCTGAATTCACACCTTCCAATCATAATTTCAGCAATAAATTCGTATGTCGAACAAAATATACGCCAATGCAGTGATTGGTTGACTCCAAAGGTTCTGTGTATGACTGGTTCATAAACCTCAGGGAAGAATAATTTTCTAGAAGCCCTGTCAATTAAAATTGGTTCAGAAATTGTCCGCCCGAATTACAAGAATTTGTATAACTTATCAAATGATTAAAACGGTTATAAATATAAGAAAATACGCGAATCTCATTTTCATTCTTTTCTTTAATTAAAAATGTTAAAATTAAAATTAAAATAAATTCCAAATAGCAAATATGTAATAAATTACTTCATCGCTATTTGGCTATTTTGCTGCCAGTCTTGACTAGACTTTTAAAATTGTCGTAATTAGTTTTTAGAGAGTTAAAAAGGTCCAAGTTTTCTAGATGATATTTTGTAACTATCAATTCAGCCTTTTTATATTGTAACAGTATTGGAAATCCTACAGTTTTAGCATATTGCAGGTCTTATATATAATTTAACTTGCAGAGGACCCTAAATCTTTAAAGTAATACACGTTTAATACCAGATGTTGAACTTGAAAAAAATTTCAAAAAATTTTTTAAAAATCAGATAAATTGGCTATTGTTTTTCCTTTCTTTTTGACAAGAAATAACCATCAAAAAAAGTATCTTGAGAACATGCAGTTTCCCTCACATTTTGTATTTCCATCTGAATTAGTCATTCAAACCCCTGCAAATATAAACTCAGGTAAAATATCTATTTATCTATTTTTTTTGGAAATTGAAACTATACTTTCAGCGTATTTATAATAACAAAAGAAAGAAATTTCAAATAATGAATAAAGTGAAAGATGAATTACTCGCATACGTTTTGGTTTAAATGACACTTTTTTAAAAACCAAGAAAGCTTTTAACTTTCGAAATTGTTTTCTCCGCTTTATATTACACGGTTAACAGGAAATGCTTCTTAAAATATTCATCATACATTTTTTTAGGAATGCCTTTTATGTTTTGTTATGATAATACACAAACAATACAGGTTTCACAATTATCTCTCATCGAGGATGACATTCACGATTTGGTTCAATATACCCAAGCAAAATACGAAAATTAAAAAAAAAAACGTAGCTGGAAGAAAAAGTCACGCGATAGGTCATTCGATAATTCCTCATTAGATGGAAATGATAGTGAGGACATAATAGGTACATGAATACACTAGAATAATTTTATATTTTTACATCGCTGAAGAAAAAAACCACCGAAATGATTTTATTTTTGATCATAGCACAATGTCACATGCCAAGTTTAAACGTCAAATGCACATTCAATCAGAGTAAAAATGACGTGCAGAAATCAACGATGGTTCTGAGGAACTCCGTAGACAGTTCCCGTCCACTTATACAAAACGCAAAATGAGTACAGCCGAATTACTTCAGAAAGGTGATCACAATTTCTATATTTATATTTAGCAATGAAAGTAATTTAGAGAATTCACAAATAATTATTGTCTATTTTTGTGTAAAGCTGTCTTGCGTATTAAGAATCAGTCAAGCAAAGAGTCTTTACTTCTCAATGAAATCAATCGGTTGAGTCGAGATTGTGACTTTTTGAATGCAGAATTGGAAAAGGAGAAAAGGTAAAATATTATTTTGCTAGAAATTGTCATTAATATCTATTTAATTGATTTATTTAATTTATTTTAATTCATAATATGATAAATACGTTATATAGACAAAAGCAAACTATTGATAAGATAGTTGCGGCTAGGTTATGAGCAATTCATTATTACTTATAGAATTAACCATCCTTTGTTGTTCTCATTTATAATTGTGTAGTTTGTTCATTCCTACGAATATTATTTTTACAATTAACAGTTTTCATATTCACTTTTTTTGTAAATATATATATTTATTTTTGATGGCTTTTTATTCTTTTCCGTTATTATGTTGTGCTACTGGGTTGGTGAGAATTCAACTCAAAAAAAATAATTATCAGAAGGAAACAATATTTTGATTCATGCAAATACTTAAAATTGATTTCATAAATTCATGTTCATTTAACCTAAAAATTAGGAATTACAATGATCCGGGTTTGCCTGGCCCGAATCTGTTACATTATGAGCCAAAATAATACAGTATAATTTATTAAGTTAGCAGATCTTAAATTCAGTATAAAAAGTGCCATGTTTTCTTAAGAAAACAGTAATTTAACGAACTTTCTTCAAGAACGTCAATTCTTTATAAGAAGAGTTGACAGAATTATTTTCAGCGATCTACTTGCTAATTAGATTTTATAATTCTAACAACTTTTATTAGAAGCACATGAAGTTTATTAGCAAAATAAAGCTTTTCATTATAAGCTAGTTTTATTATAAAAAATGAGATTAATTATATTTTGCAATAAACTGAGATTCTATATCCAATTCTAAGAAATAAGTAACGTTATTACTTAACAGTTAATGATGTAACTTCGCGGCCCCATGGGACCGCAAAATCATATGCTCATACGATAACCTTAGCAATAAAGATACATGAATGTGGGTTTCAATGTCGTTCGAAAGATTAATTATATTTATTTAGCATATTAGCAATTCGTTGTCTATAGTAATGAGATGATGATGGGAAAATAGAATCAAAATTATTTATTAGTCTTTAAATATAACGAACAAAGAGAAAGCTTCATTAGTGATTTATTTTTGGCTAATTTGATCGACATAAGTAAATCTTATACATGCATTTTTGAAAGATTAAACTTTGTCATCGTAGGATATTATATTCCTGTTCCAGAAGATTTGTAAAAAGGGTAATTCAATTCTATTAGGAGTCATAATACGTATGATTTTTTTGAAAAAATTGGAAAATAAATTTATGATATAATAAAGAAAAACAAAAAATATAATTGTATATGTGGTTAACAAAATGTAGGAATAAACTGAGGGTGTATTAAGGTTAATTTTATTGTTAAGCTCTGACATTATGTTTGTGTATAGATTAAGAGAAACCTACGTTGACAGAATTCGCAGTGTGCATTGTTTTTTAAATACCCAATAGATGGTTAGGACACGGGGTCTAGGGGCATGCATCCTCTAGACCAGCCTTAATTGAGATTTGTTCTCATTGGATCCATTGCCAGTTTGGTCTAGTGTATATGATCGATTAATCATGGCACAGTTTTAATCGATTAACAAATTAATCAACTAATTGGTTAATCAATTAGCCAACTAATATTTAATTAATTGTTAATTAGTCAATTTGATGTTTCACGACAATTTGATCAAATATTTATGAGCTTGAATAGCTTATCAAATAACATTAATTAAAAATTCCTTACATTAATCAACAACAAATAAAAAGCATTGTGCAATTGTTATTATATTCATTGTTAGAAATAACTTACTAAGTTTATCTCAAACCTGTACGAAAGAGAATTTGATATTCCTGAACTTGAATGGTCTTTTATATTTATTATAACTAATCATGAAGACTTCAGAATTTGTGAGTATAAAATTCTACCTAATATCGTTCATCCTATATCATTTAATGTCTAATTTAATTACTGAGCATAGATTTTATTTAAAAATCTGTTACAAACTGATTCTCATCATAATGAACATCAATAATCAATCCTGAATATAAAAAGCACGTTACAAAGAACATCTATAATGTATAACGAGCTGCTGCACTTTATACCCAAAACCGATCTTGTCAAAACTGATAAAAACTTCTCTTTAAAATCTTTTCAAGATTGTCCTGAATTTCAAATTTAAAAATTATAAAAAATATATGGCTATATATTCTATTAAGTTTATGCATACCATATAAACTACGAAATCCTATCCAAATTACAATCCAAAACATAAAATAAGATTGTTCAAATTCCTAATCACAATTTCAAATCCAATAAGCTCCATCAAAAAGATTACCATAAAATTTTGAGTAAATGTTATTCCAAATAATTCACTTTCATGCCGGCATCGTGTTTTCTCCTGGCTTAAACAATTTATTCGAGTCTTCCCAAACAATCTCTCCAAACCAGAACGAGACTCTAACAGGTCTAATATATTTAATTGCTTCAATCAAGCGTTGAAGTATTAAGTTAATAGTGAAACCAAAAAACAAAAGTGCAAGAGAAATCCACAATGTTAAAAAAAGTTCAGACATAGTGGAGAGATTATTGATGTCTCCGTTTAGTTGTAATATTGTGTAACAAGATATATCTTTAATGATAATGTGAAAGTAAAAGTTTAAAGTTTTTTTTTTTAACGTGAATTGGCGTGCAAGCTTAAAGTTTGAAAAATATGAGTATTTAGTAAGTTCTTCGCAACAATGAGAAAATATCTCTTAATTATTTGAGGGGCTATAGGGGAGTGTCTTCATTGGCGATAGTGATGGGATTTTCGAATTTTTAGTTAATAATGAAAATATTCATTGGCCATTATCATGGTGAAAGCTGTATGCGGTATATTTCATGTGTGGCGTTGGATTGGAGCCCTATGATATTATACAAATGAATACATTAATTTA